CATTCAGAGTACATTGGTATTCAATCCAGTCAATTTTGCTCCAGAATTCACTCTAGTTTCTCTTACACTTTTGCCTTTTCCATTTCAGTTGCTTTTTAAATTATATATATATGACTTTAATATATATATATGTATATATATATATATAGAGAGAGAGAGAGACATAGATATATAAAGAGATACATATATGTATATATTTTTATATATACATTTATATGTGTGCAAACATACATATATATTACAACTCAAACATTGATTTGATTATAATTTATGCTGCTGGTTTCATGGCTTGTCATGTTTGGTATTCTACTATTTTCAGGCAGCTCCGTTTTCTTTTCCTTTCATTTAGAGAGTTTATAATGTGAGAGGGTTGGTATTATAGGATGGCTCTGTTGAATGTATGATTGATTTGCACCTTCTTTTGTGATTTGGCTACTTTGAGTTTTTACTAAATTATTATTTTGCCTCCCCCAATGTTCTGTTCTACATTACCAGGAAATTGTATAGTTTCTATAACAGGTCTAAAGAAAAAGCTCAACTTTCTAAAGAAAGTGCAATTTTCTCTTCAATATTTCCTTTAATTTGACTTAATGAGATTTTTTTTCTGGGCAAATTAAATCCTCCCCAACCCCATTCATGTATTTGGGGGCCAGAAGCCAGGAGTAACWAAGGAGGCTTTGTTCATGTCCTCTTTCTTTCTCTATCATAAGCCCAYGAGGAGCTGTTGTTTCTCTTCTCACCAAGGTAGAAAACAGAAGGGAAGGAAAGAGTCAGTTTTAATGTGTCTGGTATATGTGATAAGCTAGAGTCTCTGTGTGGGTCTGCAGATGATTAGTGCTAACATTTCCCTTCTGAGATCCTTTGAACTCTTTAAGTGAGATCTGTTATGTTTTCCTGCATTTCCTGGATGAGAACTGGAAAATTCTCACAGTTCATCTCCAGTCTTTGTCTGCTAGGAGTTTCTTACCCTTCCATGAGGATCTTTCAGATAGAACCCAGGAGGCAATGCTGGTCCTCCTCTATGGTTCAGATCTGGTCCACAAGGAAGCACAAATGCATCCATGCACCCTTCCCTTAGGCCATCTCTCAGGCTCCCTGCCTCCTCCATGAAACCAAGGAGAAGCCTCCATCCAGCCTTCCTTGGTGAGAGTCAGACAACTGTGTCTGCAGACTGTTAACGTGTTCTCAGATGCAATTCCAGACCCCAGACTTGTGTCTGCCAAATGTGAATCTATTTGAGATTCCCAGTGGTTTTGTTGAGGTGTTCTCTACACCCATATGAGAAAGTAGCCTTCTTACAAACTTATTGCAGAATTTGGGAAGGGATTCAGAGCAGAGCAACTGTTTTCTCTGAAAAAATCTGAGCACTAGTCCAATCAGGAAACTTCTCACTCTACCTTTAGATCTTTACATAGTGCTAATGAAGTTAAAGCCTCGAGGAATCTTGGGTCACCCTTTACAATTGTAAAACTATGTGTGAGGAAGGTTTTTCCATGACCCATATTGTGTCTCAAATTAGTTGCTCAATGAACCTGAGGCAATCTGTCCCAACTAATAAATCCTTTATGTCCTTACCTTCTGTCAAAGCCAGTACGACAGGTCATGATAATAAGTATTGTACATATATAAAACTGTGCCCTGATAAAAATAGGTTTAGAAATATTAGTAGACACAATGTTATTAAAATGTGTGTGCCATAAATTTGTGTGCCCTAAATATTCAACAAGTTATTTCTGCTCTCTATGCCAAGCCTCCATGTATTTTAAATTATTTATTTTCAAAGGAATTAGCTTTGAGAAACACCTATCTGAAAAACTCTCCACTATGACCATTCCTTTCTTTTTTAACTGACTTTAAGTTATTACCCTCTTTTAT